GGTTTGGGCCACTCTGGGGGTATTTTTTCGTTGGGGAGAGCTGACAAGAAACTGTTGAGAAATATATCTGCTTAGGCAGAACGTGATGGTTCAGCACTTTTCTGCTGTCTGCAGCCTACGGATAGCATAGCAGTACCTGGAGGTCCCAATGGAAATCAGGCACTGTATACACAGAGCAAAAAGGTCTGTGCCCCAAATATGGGGGAAGCATTATCATCTCCGTTATACAGATAGGGAATGGAGGCACCCAGAGGTTGTGTCTTGCTTAAGGTCATGGAGAGAGTCTAGTGGCAGAGGCAGGAAGGACTGCAGCTCTCCTCAGTCCCGGTCTGATGCCTTAGTTCCTAGACAAAGTAGTCTGGGATCCATTACCGTCCCCAATTCCCCATCTATTCTGCCAAGACCTGTAAGCAAATGGGGACAGTTTATTCTAAGGAGAAGTGCCGGGAATTCAGTATTAATTAGATTTCCAGTGAACACTGGGGTCTTTGCAACAACTGCAGGCAAAAAGCTTCGCCCCCTTACAGTCAAATCGTTGATGGGGAAGTGTGGAGGGCTGGACTTGTGCCTGTTTACTGCAGGGCTGAATTTGGCCCCAGATTTTCCAAGAGCCCTTGAAAAGGCACCCCTGTTATTTGTAGGTACAGCTGTTGGCAGGCGCAGCCCCCACACGGCCGGCGCAAGTGCGAGCCCTCCTCCCTGTTGTGCATGCAAATGTGGGCTTGTGCACAAGCAGGCAGCTGCTCTGGGACACCACAGTGCTGGGGGCCACGCAAGCGCCTCCGATAGCGGGTTCCTTTAAATAATGGCTTGTCTTCACACAGCATTTCCTTCTGGAGACACATCATTTACAAGCACAGCAGGTTCAGAGTGTGGCAGCTTCCAAGCCTTTGTCCGAGCTACTGCCGTCAGTGCTGCCAGGGAACTAACAGGCTGCAGCTACAGATCTTGCGGGATACCAGGGGCTGCAGTGCTTCAGTGCTGCGATCAGATTAGCTGGGTATTAAAGCCAAAGAGCTAGCAGGAAACTCAGCCCTGAGTCTGTCCTTCCTTTTGTTGGCCCAGAGATGAGTGAGTGGAGACTCAGACTCAGAAAGTGGAGCCTGAATCTCCTGCAAGTCTCCCAGTAACTTTCGCCCCTGTTGTTTCATTCTCCTGTGCAATTTCTGTTTCTAGCTGGAAGCACCAGAATATCACATACAGCAAGCTAATTTCATAATATTCGTGGCCAGACCTGAGAGAGGAAACACTGGAAAGATCTGGAGGCCACATCCTGGCATCTGTGCCCCTTTGCACAGTGGGTCAGTTTTGCAGGTCAGTTCCCCGTATGGAGCAGAAACTGGGGGTGAGGAATGGGGTACATAGATGTTTTGTGTGCAGTTTGTGTATTGCCATTACGTGCAGGCATCCACTTTCCTTTGACAGAGCTGGTAACAGCCTGCACGCAGGCAACTATCCCGTCCCCACAAAATGCTGTGTCTCTCTGTGGCTAGTGCAGGACTCAAGCACATCCAGCTGCCCAAAGGCACGCTGAGTCCTTTGTTCTTCCTCTGTGTATTCCACTCAAGGGTCTGGACAGGTGAGTCAACATGTCTACACCCCTTCTGTGCAGCTGCTGTGTTGCACCGAGGAGGTGCAGGAAGGGATAACAGCCCAGCCAGTGCTCTTAATGACCCTTCAAGGGAGTTGCATATCTGGCAGCTTTAATCCTTTCACTGGGAGAGTTCCACCCTGTGTTCTTCTGTGTAAATGACCCTCCGTGTGCAAGCCTCTCACAACCTTAGCCATGATCTTACAGGTAATCAGGGCTGCATTCTGATAGGGGCTGAAAAATGCAGCTCTTGTTCCAGAGAGTTGAGAGTCTAAATAGGTAAGACAGTCAGGGAAAAATTAAGTGTTGTTATCCGTGTTTTACAGATAAAGAAGCTGTTGATGGTCAACAGCATTCAGGTTTCTAAAGGCACCTAGTGTCTTTTTTCAAAGCTACTTTTTAAAAAATCCCACTAGGTTCCTGTCTTTAAATATCTGGTTTCAAGAGACTTAGCTAAGGTTACCCAGGAAGTCTGTAGCAGAGGTGAGACAAAGTCATGTTTGCTAAGCCCTACTTTAATGGCTTGGTTACTAGCCCTTCCCTCTTCTGTAGGTTAACATACGCTGGAGGAGTTTGGGGGCAAAATGGGGCTAGCAATCCATGGGCTCAAATCCTAGGAGAGGGCTGGACACCTGCAATCCCAGGAGAAAAATCTGTGTTGTTTTCATAGATTGCTAGAGGCTGGAAGGGACCTCGTAGATCATCGGGTCCAGTCCCCCTCCAGTAGGCAGAAAGAGACAACTGGGGTCAAGTGACCCCAGCGAGGTGACTGTCCAGTCTCCTTTTGAAGATTTCCAGGGTAGGCGACTGCACCACCCCTGGCGAGAGTTTATTCCACAGTGTGAACAACCCTGAAAGTGAAGGACTTTTTCCTGGAATTGAGCCTGAAGTGGCCTTCCATGAGTTCATATCTACTGGTCTTGGTCTTCCCCAGGGGTGCCCCGGTGTACTCCCCTGATGTAGCGGTAAGCCGCTCCCAAGTCCCCCCTCAGCCTTCTCTTCTGTAGGCTGAAGAGGCCCAGGTCCCTCAGCCTCTCCTCGTATGGCTTGCCTTGCAAGTCCCTGATCATACGGGTGGCTCTTCTCTGGAGTGTTGTTCATTTACAGAGTGATGTAGTTTGCCATGTTAATCTGAAACCCAGTAGAAGGCAGGGTAGATTTGTACTTTATAGACTAACCAAAGTAGATAGGTATTTGCAAAGAACCTTTCACAGCGCCTGATGAGGTGAGCTTCAGCTTCCCACATCTTGCTCTGTATCTATACCTACTTTGGCTCATCTGTAAGGTGCAAATGTACACTGTCTTCTACATTTACTGAGTGCCTGATGAACAGTAGCCCTGGTCCTGCGACCATCTCTTGTGAATGACTCCCTGCACTGGAGCAAAGCCTATGAAAGGAGACCTCTCCGCCCCCCATTTCCCTTTGTAAGTTCATTTACTCGCGCTGCTGAGATCACTAGAGATTCCTTTCTGCACACTCACCTGGGGCTTTATCTGATCCCTTTTTTCTTTCCCTCTGTCATTTTAGTTCTCTCTCTCCTTTCTCTTTGCTCCCCTCATGTCCTTTGTGCCTGCTCTCCTCCATCTCCAAAATCAGCAGCTGCTCCTGCTTGTTAGTGGACCCTTCCTTTCTCTAATTCTTCCTCCAGCCCTTGCCTGTAGTGAATGTTGCAGTCCTGGCTGGGGCTGTCTTGGGATCTCTGTGGAACAGATGCCTTTGTGTAGGCAATAGGTTGGCCTCCAAGAGCTTTCCAGTTCCCTTAGTTGATGTGTACATCTGTGTCAAGGGGAGAGAGGGGCTGAGATGTGAGGGGGAAAAGAGATGAACAGAGGGAGAGGACTAGAGAGAGCATTCAGAGGTGGAAATGCAGAGGGAGGAGAAAGGGATGGGGAAAACAATAGAAAGGAAGAGAGGAAAGCAGGAGCAGGCAGAAAGGGTGGGAGAATAACTGCAAGAGCAGGGAAGAAGAGACCTTGTCTGCACACACAATTGTACCAGTTAGGTAATTGGCCTGGCTTCCTGGGCAGACGCTTGTATTTTGGGTTGAATGTCTTGTTTCAGTTTAGCTTCATTCTGCTGCTCATTGACTTAAGCTAAATGGAGATGCATGCATTTGTAAGCAGTTTGAAATCACACCTGAAGTTAAATCTGGGTATGATTCCGTGTACACTACAGAGAAGCCCTGAGTTAGGGAAGGGAGAGGGAGTTGTATCAAGCAGTCCTGGACTTTGTATGCCTTTCGTGGCTCCTCCAGGTCTTGCTGTCTTCTGCCGGAGTCCGAGATTTGAACTGGAACAAGTTGGGCCTTGGAGGCAGGGAGGGGGATGTTGAGGGTCTGGAATTCCTACAATGTGGGAAGAATTCTGGTTCCTTTTGTTTCCTGCCTCTCTCTCCTCCCTGCTGCAGATGGCTGCTTTAAAAATCCCCAAATGTCGTAGCAGCCTTTCTTGAAGGTTGTTCCTGCTGCAGATGCAAAATGTGTAGCAGGATCAGATTAACCCAGCCTCTGATTTCAAACCACAACTTTTTGAAGGGCACACAAGCCCCTCTGTCCCAGGCAGGAGTGAGCAGAGTGATTGAGTGTGCTGTGGTGCTCGGGTGGTACGTGGACTGGAGAGAGGCACTGGCAGTGGGTGTGGGACAGCATGACACTGGGGAAGAAATCTTGGGGTGAAATCCTGGTCTCCACAGCAATTGCAGCTCTCCCACTGACTCACAATAGGGCCAGAACTTCACCCTTGATCTTTAAGGCAGGAGTTTTGAGGGGGCTATGGGAGTTAGGCACCTAATTGCCACTGATATACTGTGGGATTAGGTATCTTGCTCCCTTAGGTACTTTTGAAAATTCCAGCTGAACACATCATGCTTTTGTATGTGGGTCCTCCAGTAAGTGAGAACCAAGCCATGCATCTGATGCTCCCTGTGTAAAGGAGATGGGGATTTACTTCCCAATATGAAGAAGGGGCTCCCACCCTTTCTGAGGTTGGCTATGGAGCCTTTCCGAGAGCTTCCTTGTGCAGAAACTCCTTACAGTTCTTCACTGCCGACAGGCTGAGCTGCTTTTCTTTTTGTACCAGATGTAAAGCAACCCTTAGAGTCAGCAGGAGCACAGGGTATGTGCCAGGCATGTCTAGGCACACAGGGCAACTGCACTGGTTGTTGGCTGTACTTGGAAATGTGTCCTGTCGGGAAAGAGACTACCCCAGGCACATCTAACCCGACACTGGGACAGGCATTCACCTTCCTTCTCCACTGGCACCACTCTCCCGTTGTTCCTCCGTAGCTTTCCCACTCTGCTCCCCCAGGTATATAAATCATGTTAACCCTGGTTCTGGCTTAGCTTCTCTCTCTAAAGAGAGCTTCAGGGCTGCTGGATCATGGAAGCAGAGAAGTATAGGGCTGGTAAGGACCTCAAAAGCTCATCTGGCAGCTCTGGCATACTTGGATCATTCCTGGTAGAGGTTTGTCCAGCCTGTTTTTAAAAACCTCCAAGGAAGGAGAGAGCCTGTGCAAGCATTTCACCACCTTTATAGTTAGAAGATTTTCCAAATAGCTAACCTGAATCTTCTTTTCTGGAGCAAGTTAGGCTGCTTTCTTTTTGTCCAGTAGACCTGGAGACCTGTCCTCTTTATAACAACCCTTTACGTATCGGAAGACAATATGATGTCCCTTTGCCCTTATACGCACAAAGCTAACCCAGTTCTTTCACCCATCTCGCTCATAGATTATGTTTTCTAAACCGTGCCTCATTCCCATTGCTCTCCTCTGACTTCTTCAATTTGTCAACCACTTTAAGGTACAGGTTTCCCTCGCCAACCGCTGGGCTTAGGTTCCTGAAAGTTCCCGTGGTTGGCAAGACAAAAGGCTTATGGGAAAAATGGCAGGTGAGGGTTGATGCACAGCCATGGAAAACTGTGGTTATTCAAAACTGTATACCGTGGCAGCCAAAATGGTATATAAAATGTTAAACGTGGATACTCAGAACCATGGTTGGCAAAACTGTGGTTGGCAAGGGGAACCCGTACAGTACCCAGAAGTGGACACAGGACCCCAGCTGACACTTTACCAACGCTCAGTAGAGTAGTTTGTTCCCCCAGAAGCTGACGTCCGCTTTGTAGAGCCACAGAAGAATGCAACGCAGGCACTAGCGATGCTAGCTTTCCTGGTCTGATGTCCGCAGCGTGACTTATCTTCGAAGGAGAGATCTCAGACTTCCCCAGCATGGGCAGGAAGGCCCATATCTAAGACCTAAAAGGAGTCCATGGTCTGTTCTGCTCTTGGCCTGGACTCAGCACTGGGGTGGTTTTGTGAGATGAGCAGCTGGTTGTAGACCATCAACGCCCATGTCACACAGGCACGGACCAGCCAAAATAGCACTGGCCCGCAGCTGGCTAGATGCCTCGGGAGGTTGGTAACATGGCACTGAACAGCTTGCCTCCGGAGCCAGTCCCATTTGCGAGTGAGAATCGTTGCCGCCCGAGGGCTGGAAGGTGCCCTGCGTGGAAAAGGGCCAGTGGTCTTGGTGCAGTGGCTCTGCCTTGCGGCAGGGGGGGGCTTCTGCCCCTATTCTGCGCACTGCGGGCAGACCTGTCCTTGGTGCTTCTGGGGGTGTCTTGGGGCATCAAGGAGGGGATATTTCCAATGAGTAATACGACAAGTTAGATGGACCCAGAGCCCCCTGTCACCCCTTGTTAGCTCCCTGGACAGATAGTTTCAAAGCTCTGTGTTTTCCAACAGCCAAGCACCTTCCACCAGGTAATTTATTCCGGGGAAGCAACTCTTCTGCCTTTATCTGTCTTGCGCTCTTCCTCCCCCTCCCTCTCCTTATGCCTTCCCAGTTTAAAACTGAAAAGGTGAGTCCCTTGGGGACAGCTGGAGCTGGCTGGAAGGAGCCCAGGCTGGAAACAATAACAGTAAATAACGATCCCCTGTCAGTGTCATAAAAAGGGAAACGGTTACAAGGTTTTTTGAATAAGCGTCCCCCATAAATCTGCTGGGCTCTGAGAAAACGGGGGGCGATTTGGGGAGGGGGGGGCGGGCAGGCAGGCAAGGGGCGCTGCCTGGGAAAATCAGCAAGCCAAGGAAGGAAGGGAACAGTCGAGCGGGAGGGAAAGCAAGAAAGCGAGAGCAGAAACTCGAGCGAGGAGGATGGAAAAAAAAATAAAAAAATAAAATAAAGCAGGAGAGAAGCGCAAAGACGGGAAGCAAACCTCCTTGAGCTAACACGGTTGCCATGGCGACGTGGCAGCGAGGAACAGGAAACAGCAGAAAATAGAACCGCATTCTGCTGAGGCCTGCACGAGCTGCGAGGAGCGTGGACCCCTCC